TCTATTTTTGTTTTTTCTTTTTACATATTTTGTTAAAAGGCCAAATAAGGACTTCAAACTAAAAAAAAGTAATTTTCTGTTTTGTTTTATTCTTGGATCGGGCTTTAAAGGGTTAAATGGGTTTGCTGCAACGCACAGATCCATGTATGTGAACTAGAAGTTATGCTTGTGAGTAATGCAGAGGGAAATGGAAAAATTATACTTTTTGGTAAAGAAAAATCTCAATTTAGATTTTTGTAAAAAATGGGGAAAATACAGAAAATTCCAAGTTTGGAAGTATTTCTGTTTACGTTGTAGATTATTAGTAAAACCATGCATCATTTCTTTTTACTTCAGTGACACACTCCTGTGTGTTGGTCTGTTACAGCAAATCTAATTAGTAGATTACTAGACACTGGTTTCCTTCTTTCATTTACACCTACGTCGACAGAGCAAAGGCTGCTGTGAGATCCAGATGTGCTGACGATCCAGTTCATGTATGAGGAGTCCAGGCCTTCAACGTTCATGTCTACCAGGTGCTTCTGCAGAGCTGAAATGACACAAATGTTTACGCACTTATTGCAACACATTAAAATGGCCATAAAAATCTAATTGATGTTAAAAACAGAGATAAACAGAAAAAAATAATAAACATATGATTTTAAGCTACTTACCCATAAAGCCTCCCTTAGCAATGCTCACATATTCTTTGTTTTTCTGAAAACAAACATATTCAGGTAATATTTAAATTAGGAATAAGATCAACAACATAGGAAAATAATGATAGAGATGCTTTTATTAAACCAGCATATGTATTTATACAATTAATTTATCTCTTATAAAGATAGGCTCCTCCCTTTTCCTCAGTGTTCTGCATTGTTTGGCCTATTTTTGAACAAACTCCGCGCTCAGCTCCTCACCTGTAGGAAATGAGCAAGCACCATGTTCATGTACATGTCCTCCTCTTCTCTCCCGCTGCCCATGAAGCACAGGTGCTCTCCGCTGGCGATGGAGCCCGACTCTAAAGACTGCTTCTGCGCCTCCAACAGAGACTTCACAGACAGAGCAAACTCAGAGGGGTTCTGGAGCATCTGAGGGAAGACAACAAATGTTTAGGGAGAAACATCCATATTCATCGAAAGATTTTAATGAAATATCAAACACCGTTAGTATCTCTCACCAGGTCAGAATCCAGGTGGAAGGCTGTGGACAGGTGTCCAGCATTGTATTGCTCTGCAGGTCGGCAATCCACCACAAAGAAACGCACCCCGTCCTAAACATCACAAATCACAAGTCCTACAGACACAGCTTGCTTGGAAGTGGTTAAAAAAGTCTGTGTCACTCACCTGTTGAAGCTGGTTGGCCTGCAGGATTTCAGGGACAGACACAGGGAGGCACAGGGCCTGACTCAGGTCAGTATCCTCCTCTTTAAGAGCCACCAGGCTGCTACCAAACAGATTCTGATTCATCTAAAACAAAGACGAAACGAAAACAAGCTCTTTCAGTACGCTTCTTTAATTAGACTTCTTTTTTACTAAGTTCCATTGTTTGCTTCAGGGCCATTATCTATACACAGCGCTTTACCTTTCTGAGTGACAGAGGGGTTTTGCTCTGGTAATGCTGGGCCAATGAAAACAAATCTTCAATGTCTTCTGCTTCCAGGAGGGAGGGGGACATTTCCAATGTTTCTGAAACCAAAAAAGAAGAAAAAAATGAATAATTTGAATAAAGATAAAAAAAAAATAAAAAAATAAAACGAAATCTGAACAGATTCAAACATGTCAGGCAAACAAACTGACTGATGATGTCCTCTTTGCTGTCTCCAACTTCTGTAAGGATGGTTTCTCTAAAGAGTGAATAAACACACGTTCAGAACTGAAACCAAGCCGTTAACGATTGCATGGCTAACCGCTAACAGATACCTACTTGGCATTGACGAGGATGATGAGCATGAGGAAGAAGATGAGGAAAGGATCGGCCTGTTGGAGGTATGAGTCCCACAAAGCCTGAGTGACCTCAGGCCTGCAGTGACTGGAAAACAGACTCCCCAGCTGAAAGAAAAACAAACAAAACTCACTTTAGTAAAAAACGGCAGAAGGAGAAGCATCGTCAGACCCGTCCTGGCAGTCCTGGCGTACCCAGTTGATGGCGTAGGAGTCAGGAGTGATCTTTTTGGTGTCCAGAAAGGAGCACAGCTCCGGTTCGTGATACTGCAGCAACAGTCTGTACAGGTGGAAGGGTCGTCCGTTCGGCACACACTCCCTGAAACAAAACACACCTGGCTGATGATGAAGCCCGCCTTGTGACTGGAGGTAAAAAGACAGCCGTGGTTAGGAGGTTTACCTGGGGATGTATTTGTTCATGATGGCGTAGAAACAGTTGTAGAGATCGCTGCGCGGTAACTTTAGCCCCAGCAGGGGTTTAAGCAGGTGAGGCAGGCTGAGATCTGGGCTGAAGGTGATGTTACGAGACTTGCAGTAGAAAGTGATGACAGACTCGACATCAGACACCAGTTCGCGCCCCTCTTCCTCTGAAACTCCCAGCTGATCTAAACACGACAGGAAAGGGCGAGAGGTTTGATAAGCTTTACTCCTGAACACTTAACATGTTCATCCAACCAAACTACAGACAACAAGTTCTTTCAAGTATTAAAGAAGATAAAAATGGAGGTCAAGATCAGAGTATTTTATTTTTAACCATCTTTACCAAAGGTTCTATATTTAGCCCGACCAGATCTAGGAGATGTCAGACTCAAAGAATTTTAATTTTATGAAGTCTTGATAATAATATTGGTATGAGATGGCAGCTAAAAATGTAGCTTCCTCAGCCAACTCTTAGGAGAAATAATCTAATCTCCAGCAGCAGATTAATAACCGTCACCGCAGAACATTATTTGAGGTTAGCATTTAAATATAATGCCTTACTCAGACATTAGTTCCCGTTTGTTGCCATGTAAAGATGACAGTAAAAATAATCATTTCACTTGTGAGGTCTATCATTTGATTTGATTTATCTGCTTTTGTCAAATTGGTTTGAAAATGTTAAAATCCAGAATGTTATCAATGTTTATCAGCTAAGAGATCAAGCTAATTACCTTGTTGTCTTCATGCTCTGCATTCCTTATTTACACATACAACATATAAGTAAGGTTTCTTACAAAATGAAGGAGTTACTCACCAATCAGCTGCTGACTGCGGTTGTGAATGAGAGTCTGTTCTGGTAGATCGAGCACCCCGTCCCAAGGAGACAGGCTGTCTCCTTTTCCAGAGACATTCAGCGCAATCTGTCATCACAAAGCAAGTTAAACGCTAAGAGATCAATCCATGAGTAAAACACTGAAGGGAGTAAAGAGACATAAATGATTCAGATTTCTGTTCTATGATCCTGAAGGTAAAAATAGTGTGTGGCTGGGTTAAAAAAAATATACCGTCAAAGTTTCTGACAAAAGAAAATAAGGTTAAATGATTCATTTTAGTTAAGTAACAATTTTTTTTTATACTTTGTGCTTATCTGCAATATATGACTGATATTACACTTCGTTATACACACCACTTGACATGCTACACAACTGCTTTCTATACATTCTTAATATATTCCTACAGACAAAAATGCACAACTATGTAAATAAATGATCATTGGTCAAACAAAACAAAAGCTGTGAGCAGTCACAAAACCCGGGACAAAAATTCGATTAACACAAAGTTATCTCTCAGCTTACGGATAAAGATCATAAGAGTTCAATTATTCATTGTATTGAATGTTTATTATTTTAAATGGCTCAGCAGCTACAGAAAAAAAAAAAGTTGAACATTTATTCAAAAGAACCAAATTTCATTTTGTTTTTAATTTGGAAATGAACAGAAAAAAAACTTTAACAGAGTTTAAATCTAAATAATCCCTCTTTCGTTTTGTTTTTAAATGCTTCACATAAAAATAAATATGTCAGGAATTCATCTCTAAAAATAGCCAAAGTTTCAACTGAAGGTGTGTCAGAAAGGGATGTAAAAAGGCGACATTAGTTGAACATGAAATGCTTGTCTATCTGGTCTGTAGCCAATGAATGGAAGCTATGGATTCAACGTTTTGAATAAAATTTTTTATAGATTGTAGCAATAATGATTAAAAAAAGCTTGTCATAATTTCTTGGTATCAGCTCAAAGGTAGTTTAAAAGGTATGATCTAGTTCAAAGGCCTTCATCCTGTTTGGTTACTGGCACCCATGCATATATGTAAAAGATGTATATAAAACATAGGAATAAAAAATAAATCCTGTCAATTAAGTGCAAGACTGTCCCCACCCTGTAATGAGGAAAGGCTGCCCACCGATTCATCCCTTTAACAGTTCATACTCTTGATATTTTCTCTCAGTATTCACTGAGATGGCTGCTCAACGCCATTATAGTTTGATAAGAAATCCTAATCCAGAGTATATGTAAGAGTTGACCCACTCCTATTGGACAATATCATATTGTTTCATTTTTAGCAGAAATGAAACTATGCAACTATAAAATTAATACTTAATATACAATGGTTTAGGTACATGGGTACAAAATGGATTTATTTTACAGACAGGAAATGGAAGACGAAGCAGACTAAATGGCAACACATGTATGAAATAGGACATAATTTAGCCCAGAGTGGAAATTACGAAGAGCCACGTGGAAGTAGTGAGTGTTTACTTCCTTTTAAACTGTGGACACCGGTTGCATCTAACCTGAAGAAAAGACATCCTATAAATACATGTAAAAGTATATCATTGATTTCAGAGTAATACTTTGATGCACAGCACATCGGCCTCTTTATATATAAAATAAAATGCTTCTTACCTTCCACATCTTGGCTCTATGTTCAGCTGAATGCTCTTGGATCTGCACGATGCTCTCCATTTCACTGTCTGACCCGCCAGAGTCCAGAGCCTCGGCTAAATCCTGGTCCCTGGGGAGTCCAACATCAAATAGTTGTAAAATATATAAAATAATTGTGTTTCCTAAAAATCCTCCAAAAAAATTAAGCAAAACAATTAAGCATAAAATACCAATTTTCTGTAATTTACAATTTAACTGGGATTTATATTTTTTTCCTAAAAGACCAAATAGTGTGAGATATGTTTTATTTTTTCTGTAAAAATTTGCAGTAAACAATGACATCCCTAAATAACATCTTAACTAATTATTTCTACGCTAAATATGAATCAGATGTATTCATAAATAGAGTAACAGAAATGGCTATTTAACTATTAACTATTTACCATTTAACTACTTAAAGTCTTCTTCTGTGGTCTGTAAACTACTTTACAGTAAAATGATAAGATTTGCTGATCCATTTGATAAAAGCCCTTCTTAAGTTAACCAAAACTTCATGACATCTCCAGAAGATAAAGGTTGGCATTTACTATGGACAGATTAATGCTTACACTAAATGCCAAATTTTTTTATATATCATAAATATTAAACGTAACAGGTTGGAATATAATGAGAACAGATAGCTTTAGGTCTGAGATTTGGTTAAAGGAAATGTAGCTAGTTACTAGCATTCCCGCTAACTAAGTGTAGATATATATGTTAAATAGATAAATCCGCTCTAATATGAACCCTAGACAGATTTTCATATAAAAGCATTCATTTATTATCCTTCATTTTAACCTTTGCTTTTATAGGAAGTAACTTAGCTCATGTTATTCTATTAGCAGGCTAACTACCGTTACCAAACTGAGCTCAGATTTACCGTCTTCAGTGAGGTGAGCAGCGACATAAATTAATATTTAGTTACTTTAAAGGGAAAACCAAACTAGGGAAGAGAACACTGCTTCATGGTGGCTGGATTATAATCCCCAAACATCTAAACCCAACAACAAATCGACTCACCAGCTGCCCTGAGCTTCCTCTACGAAATCCGCCATTGTTCTGTTGACAGAGACACGTCACATACCGCGTCACCACGGCGGTACGTCCCGCAGCTGTCACTAATGAGCTGCCGAGATTAATTAATATTTTTTTTATATTTTATATATTTTTTATATATATATTTTTTTTATATTTTATATATAATATATATATTTTAATTTAAAAATATATATTTTTATTTAATATATATTGTTTAGGCTTGCATTAGGGACACTTTAACTACATAGTAGGTTATACAACCCCCTATATGAATAAAAGGCAAACATGTTGGTTATTTTTTTTGTAAAAATACAATATTTACTTTAAATACTACTTTTTCTTCGTTCATTAGAGACTAGTTTTGTCCAAAGAGTGGTCCTTGCAGCCATATTTGTACATATTTTGCCCCCCAACCCACAAAATAAATTTTTTCTAAAATTTAAAATAGTGATCCGTTTCCTGTGTAAGGCAATAAGTTTTTCCTTTTTACATATTTTATCATTTCTATATAATCTTTCACCTTTGTTCTCTTCTCCCACCCAGTCATGAGGCAGAAGACATGGATGGGCTACTCTGAAGAGAAAGGAAAGGTCATCAGTCCTTATTTAAAAAAAAAAAGGTTGGTTACCTTCTCAGTATAGAATGCCTCAAAAACCTTCCTGGAAAAGTAAAAATAAATAAATTTAAAAAATTTAAGACGCTGTACATAAGGAGAGAAAGAAATTAAGCTACCGTATATGGAAGATAAACTCTTAAATCAATTGTGCTGGCTTGAGGGCATCACTAACTGCATAATTTACAGATATGAATGAGTTGAAGGCTATTTGAACTTGAATATAAGACAGAGTATGTCATAAAAGAAGGGAATAACCTGAAACAGATGACTAAAGACATTAAACAAGAATTCTTCTAGCATTACAGAAAATACCATCTACCAAACCATCCTTTTTCTTTTTAAGACCTTAGAAACAGGGTAATATGCATAGAAAAACAAAATCATCACAAGCTAAAGTTCCTTCCAATAACTCACTTTATTAGGATTCTCATTATTTCCACTTTGGTCACTGTGAACATTGACATTTTTGTTGTTTTTCTATCAAACAGTTACAACTTAGTTTACATATATTGATTTTTTTAAGGGTTAAATCCTGCTTTTTTATTTTAAGCAGTCCATCTGCACAGCAGCAGCGGTGACGCATGTTCTCATTCTCTGATATAACCTCTGTGTAAAATCTGCCACTGATTCTTTGGGAAGCATCGAGTCCAAAAACTCAAGGGGTCCCAGTTGATTCGTAAAATATGCAAAACTTAGTGCATACTAAATTAAACACAGCTGGCTGCTTTAAAAAAAAACAAAAAAACAAAATCATGCTGAGAATTTGAACACAGTGCATAAAGAGACTGTCTGGGCTGCATGTAGGCTGGGATCCTTAAGGCCAGCATTGTGAAAAAAAATCTCTTAAAAAAAAAAAAAAAAGGTTAGGTCTTAAGGACTTGTACAAATAATGGAATAAAACAAACAGAAAACACCCCCCCAAAGATTTCACTAATGAACTACAAAACTCCAATAGCAGGTGACATCTTCAAAGAATAGAGGCATAAAAAAAACGATGGCTAAGTTTGTCTGATGAAAAGGGTTTTGCCCAAGTCAAGCATACTTTGATTTTTTTTTCTAGTGTTCCAGACAGCTTGAGCATTGCATTTACATAGATAAAGTGAGCATGCTGCACAAATTTTATATATTAAAAACAGGCAAACCTATTAAAGAAAAAAAAAAAAAAAGACTAAACAGGCCTTTTAGGGCCCATACCTATCGGATCAATTCCAGCATTGCAAATACAGACATTTCACAAAGAACTGATTCTCTCGCATTCAAACTGAAGATCTATGTTAGAAAATGGAAGCAGCCGGAAAAAAAACAACAACTCTTCAGATCAGCATAAACTGCTAAGAGAACAGTTCTTCACAACCTCACAGTATTTTCTGTACATCTGTATGTTACAGAAGCCTTAAAAGTCAGTAATCGTTCAACAAACTGCACGTTTTCGTCTTCTGCGTATTATTTTAAACAGATATGAATGGACATTCATGTATGTTTTACCTCCACGCTTTATTTGAGAGATGAAAAGGTTTCACAATTACTTTGGGCTGAACTAGGCATCAGCAACCGCCTGCTGGTCAAACAGTATCCTGACAGAGACAGAGACCTGGTTTGTAAATAGAAAACCTGTTGGCTTTCAAAAATAAAATCCTTTCTAATCTGAGAACACCACGTGACATATTAAGGGTTTATTCTTTTCATCATAATATCCAGAATTTCTTTTAACAAATCAGATTTATTTCAAACAGTAAGACAATTAGGTTCTGCGGTGGAGACTGCGATGGACGGTGGAGACGTTACAGAGTGGGAGGTTTAAGGCCGTATTTCCGAGCCACCTCCGTCTGGGCGTACGCTGCATCGCATAACGAGTACAAATGGGACATCTCCATCTCTGACTTGGCGAGGTTGATGGCTTTGTTAAACATTTCTATCGCCTTGTCCAGGTTTCCCCTGCAAAGATAACACTCCAGTTAATGAAAACAAGTTAAGTGCAAGCCTCTCAGATCATCGTTTTTGTTCAATCTCACCTTTGAACTTCGATGGTTCCCATAGTTTCATAGGCAAAGTCACATTTGTTGTCGATTTCTATCGCCTTACTTATGAGGTCCAGCCCCTGGTCGAGGTCTTGTTTCCACTGAAGCTGCAACAAACTGATCACATATTGGAACAATGAGTAAAAAAGAATGAAAATCATCAGTACAAGATTGGTAAATAAGGAGGAAACTCGTCACCCTTTGTGAACATAAGTCGTAGCATTGTCTGGTTCCAGTTCGATACACTTGTCGTACATTTGATCAGCTTTCCCAAACTGCTGCTGGTCGGTCAAAGCCTGAAGACAACATCAAAGTGTTTGAATTTTTAACAGGATTTTATCAGTTCCTCTTAAGTTTCAAACTATTTGGTCCTACAAATACTTAGGTGGCGACAAACGCAGACAGATATATTGGAAATATATTTAGATCATTTAGTCTTCATGATCATTTAAATCATGAAGACTAAAAAGGAAAATAGAAGTCTTTTTTGCTTATTGTATTTCTGATCTGATCCGAGTAGGTGATGGTTTGGTGTATAAAAAAAAAATAAAACCTTTAAGCTTTCATAATCTATATAATTATAAAATGTCCTCACTGGAAATGTTTCCAATGTTTCAAGGCTTTGATATCAGCCTCTTCCTTCCTGCTTAAGCCGGGCATACACTGTGCGATTTTTTTCAATCGCTGCGCAAAGCTACAGCTCACACTGTACAACGAAACCGCAGGGTTTCCTCGTGCTTGCTGCCTTGGCAATTTATGCAATTTTGTGTGCTGAAAGCCCTAAAAAGAAAAGGCAACAACATATTTGGACAAAGACACAGAAAGAACTCCATCACTCCAACACCCGAAAAGGGCAAAAAGTCATGTATGCCCAGCTTTACACAGAAAATCCCCCACTATGGAACATCCTGCTGATTTGCTTCTATTGTCTTCTCATTGAGGAGTCATACTTTAATCTTTAATGCACCATCGCAACCTGTTTTCAAGTATACACAGAGGCATCTGTAGACCGCCAGATCTATAACTTTAATAGTTAGCTTAGTGTTCAACTATTGGTGGAGAAGACATAAAAAGCCAGGGGTTATAAAGTTTTAAATGTAACCTTTTTACATCTTTAAATTGTGTTTCTAGATATTTTATTATGTCGTTTTCTCTTTTGTTGCAAGTTGTTTTATCACTCAGGACGTGTAAAGTACTTTGGGTGCTGTCTGGATTGTTGAAATGTGATCCATAAATAAAAAATGATTGTAAAGGATTGAAAAGGAGACAAATGGAAAACAACTATGTCTGTTTTGGAGTCACAGTGTTAGTGCTATATGGGTGAAACCGGGATAATCTGATGTTTTGGAGAAACATCAGTAAATCTGAATGTGTCTATAAGGCTAAAATGATTTATTGTATTTTCCACACTTTAAGGCGAATTTAATCTTTAATATTAATTAATCTTTAATATTAAAAAACACAGTGTGCCTTATAATCCAAAGTGCCTTATACATGGATTCATTCTGGTTGTGCTCACTGACCTCCAAGTGATTTTCTGTGGTATGTGGTGCTCTGTGAAACTGTTTTATTTTTGATTTTGGTGAAGTACAAAGCCACAATGCTTTCAAGATAAAGGCTACCACAGTCAGAACAATAAGTAATGCATGCTGTGCATTACCATAAAATGTGTGTGTATAAGGACCCCAAAATGGCTACTGCTTACAAAGCAGACTTCAAACTCAAGGCTATCAATCTCACAGTAGAACATGCGAATAGCGCAAATATGAGATAATTCAAAATTAATGAATCAATGGAACGGAAGTGGAGGAAGCAAGAAATGGACCTGCGCCTTATAGTCTGGCGCACATTTTATATGAAGAAGAAAAGAAAAAAAAAACAGCCTATAGTGCAAAAAATACACTATATATTCATGGATATGAACTGGTTACGTTTCTTGCATGGTATTGTGTATTAACACTACATGAAAAAACAAATTGAGAATTAGGATTTATTTCACAAATCAGATCCTGGTTGTTTTGTTTTTTAAACTTCCAAATTAAAAGAATCTTTTTAAAAAAAAATTTTTTTATGAACTGCTAAACGATAAATGATACCTGAGCGTAGAGAGCATAGCCTTCAGCACATTTTGGAAACCTTCGGATTACGTCCTCAAAGCCATCCATGGCCGTCTGCACCTGTGATGGGTTGTTTCCAGTATATGCTTGTCTGTACTGTAAAAACAAAGGCGGAAGTCAACGAGTAGTTTTTCGAAAGAGTAACACAGACTTGTCTGCATTAGAAGAGAAAAATCTAGAATCTTTATTGAAATAAAAAACAGCATTGTGCTGCAGGGTTTATACTAGACCAAAACTCACAAGGGCGAAGCATTTCTGAGCCTGTGCCAGAGCAGAGTCGGGCCTGAGGCGGATGCACTCATCAAAATCTCCCACTGCTTCGTCCACCTGGTCCAGCAGGATCTTTAGCTGAAAGGAAAGACAGATGTTTTTAGAAAAGGTGTCAAAGAAGCTCCAGCATCTCCTCCTGCATGATCATGTTATCCCTGCAGTACTGTGCAAAGCAGGGGTAATGTCCTGTGAAAACTAAGGGCTAATTTTAATTCTACAAAGCTTACGATGACACATTTTAACTAAAAAGATATTTATTGATTGAGGCAGTACTGATTTTACTTTTGGCAAAGCTGGTAAAAATATCATCCTGTAAACAACAACGAAACATCTAACAGCAATTGGATTTAAATAGAAGGGTATTTAAAAGCGTGCAGGTGACGCAGTGGTTGGTGCGCACGACCCATGTACGGAGGCCTTAATCCTCGACGCGACTGACCCGGGCTCGAATCCGGCCAGTGGTCCTTTGCCGCATGTCTCTCCCCCTCTCTCATACCCGCTTTCCTGTCAGCCTACTGTCCAAAAAACAAGCCTCAAGTGCCGTAAAAACTCAAAAGAAGGATGTTTTACCATCTGTCTTTTTTCTAATAAAGTCATGCTATAACGAAATGTAATTTTCACAGCAAATAAAATAAAAGTAGGCAGNGTGGAAGGCAGCGCCGGGCAAGTTACGCCACAGTTTGCGGATGGATTGTAGATGCTTGGGCTAACGTGTCTGCTGGCACTGTTGTTCGAGCTTTCGCAAAAGCGGAGGAGCCGCACGGCACAGAAAGTGACTCTGACAGCGAAGAAGGGGAAATTGGCATGTCTGATTTAGCGCATCTGTTTGATTCAGAAACAGAGGATGATGACTTTGATGGGTTTGATTAATACTTTAATACTTGAGTAATAAATACATGAATAAAGTACAAACATATTCAGTTTTGCTCCCGCTCTATTTTTAAATATGCAGTAGAGGTATTTAAACGTAGTAGAGGATATGTACCATTATATAAAACCCACGCCCTATAATCCGGTGCGCCTTATGTGCGTGTTAAATACAGCGATGGCACACATAACTGAGACTGCGCCTTTTAGTATGGTGCACCTTATGGTCATGAAAATACGGTATGTTTCAAAACCCATTTCAGTCCGACACCCTAAAATAACAAAAAAACCCAACATCTAAGTTGCAAGTTAACTCCAGAAGTTACCTAAATGAAAAGACGCCACCTGTCAATCAATCCAAGAGTCTCATTAACCACTGACCAATCAGTGATCTCGATTTTCCTAAACTGAAACGGCTCTCCCCAGCAGCACACTCTGACAACGTTACTATGGTTTTATAATAGTATTTCACAGCAAACGAAAAGTTTTGTAAAAAAAAAAATCATAGTGTGTTCTATTTTCAACTCCCCCACTCAAAAAAAGTGGAAATGTAGAAAAAGAAGAAAGGTCTGCTGTGGACGTCATGAGCAGCTGAACACGAGCTATAAATAGAAGCACACAGTTTTTCACAAGTACGAACAAACAATTCTTTTTTTTTGTCATAATAACAGTTTTATTTTTAGCTTAGAAAAAGATTCTTTTGCTCCATTTGTTACAAAAATGAGTGATAAACTTTATTGAAGGCTATGTGCTAACATGGGCTTTAAATATTGATACACAGGCAGAAAATTTATAATTATTTAAAAACAGGTTTCATTTTCACCCACCTTTCATTTCTATACTAAATGCCATCACTAGCTTCAACAGCCAACATGACTGTGTCCAGTGAATACATCTACCGACTTGATGTGGAAAGAAATCATGCCTTTTATCTTTACCTTGAGTTTTGCTGTAAATGTTTAAACTATTCTTAGATTGTCTGAGCTGTTTCCATCAGCTTCTTTCTTGCTATTGGCAGCAGGTCAATGAATGTTCCCTTTATTTGTTCTAAAAATAAATCTTAATAACTGACTTCTAAATTCAGCTGTCTTTTAAACTTTACAATTTTGCCCATATTTTGTTGGTCAATCACATAAAGTTCCAACAAAGGGAATTCAGGATTGTTGTTGTATTCTGACAAAATGTGGGAAAAACATTTTAAGTTGTGTAAATGCTTTTGTAAGCCCTGAATGATGGTTTTTATCTTTGCATTAACCTTTGAGGTTAAAACAATCCATTCAAGGTGAAAATGTCAAAATGTCTTTAGTGAGAGCTAAATGTAAAAACTATCCTACATCAGATCACAGTAAAACAAATATCTTTGGAGTTTAATTTAAATAACTGTAATGTTTATATTAATCTAGCTTATGTTAGCTTATATATTTCTGAGCAAACAACGTTTTTTTATTTTCTAAATTGATAATAGATCTGAACAGATATTTTAAATACAGATGAATTTAAAATCTGAGATGTGGAGATTGGAATTGCTAGCATAAGCTACTAGCAGAAAAAGCACACTTTAATTTTAATATCAGTTGTTTTGTTGGGGTAATGAAATAAATAGTAAAGACTGGACAATAACAAAAACAACAGTAGGAAATAAAAGAGAATAAATGAACAGAAACCAGATCCTCCTACCTGCCCCCTGTGGTGGTACACGTCAGGGTTCCGGCTGTCGATCTCAGCAGCCATGTTGAAATCTTGTGTAGAGAGCAGAGGCTGCTGCTGCTGCATGTACATGCTGCCACGCTTTATTAAAGCGTTTGCTCGTAGCTGTAGGAGAGAGTAAAGGCAGAGGGGGCAAATAGATGAACCTTTAATCACACACCTCCACTGTTATAAAGCTACATGCTGCTAAACACCTGAAACATGTCTGAGACAAACTGATGCAGTATATATGCACTGCACTGTATATATCCCATGCACCTTTTTCTTCCTTTGGCACATTCTTCTTCTTTGACTATTTGAGCTGATGTAACTTAATTTCTTTACTGTTAGATCAATAAAGTCAATCAATCGATTGGTCAATTAGTATTTAATTCCAAATTCTAAAGTTTAAAGCTCACAATAAAAGACGCATAAAATCTTGATATTAAATCTGGTGAAAGAGAAACGTTTTCTATTAGACCTCAGAAAGATTTTCAGCAATGAAACCTACGGTAAAGGCTGGTTTATACTAGGGGTGGGTATTGCCAAAGAAATCACGATTCAATTCGAATCATGATTCACAGGCCACGATGCGATTCTATCACGATGCATCATGATACTTGAATTATTGCGATGCATTGCAATATTTTATCCTCCATGTTTTGTTTTTGAATGACTCGGCACAGTATCCCGCGGCCGGAAACGCTTGTGACACAAGGCAGCGTGCGTCAACACATTTGCTGTGACATCTACTGGACTGGAAGTTGTATTACACTTGTTTTTGGCTGATGTTCGCCAACCATTCATGCAATTTTATTTATTAATTTTTTTAAATTAATAATCGATTCTTGGCATCAAGAATCGATGCAGTAGATCACGAAAATTAGAATCACGATGCATCATCATCACGATTATTTTGCACACCCCTAGTTTATACTGTGTGTGTCGCAGTGAATGCAAATGTGCCCCCGCCCTGTCTGCAGCCACTTCTCCAAAATTGTAGGTGACCGCAGACAGGAGGCCTCTGATTGGTCAAATCTACATCAGTTCTACACTATGCATATTTCCTGTTTGGTATCTTACCAGCTTGTTTTGTTTGTATGACCTCCATTGCGGAAAACGACTCGTAAATTTGGACCAGCTAGAAGAGCGAGGTGCGTGAGAACGCTGGGACCCTTTTTCCACCTGGATCCCCGCTCTTTTTCGCCTTCATGTCCCTCCGTTGTTGCACAAACATGCCCCTACTTCCTCACCGCTATCTAGACCCACAGCTAGTTCATGATTGTCCCTCTTGCGTGGATAACATAGCGCAGACCACGCTTCAATACTGGACATGAATCAAAAAATATCTGCGGCAAGCTCACTGCGACACACTGCTGTGGGAGGATAACCAGCCCTCAAGTCATGTTGCTGAAACGCTGTTATGATTTGATACCAACCAGAACAAATAGGGACTAAGGAATTTCTTAGCATAGCAGAAACGCATCAGACTGCTGTTTCTGTACACTAGTTCTAAATTATAATAAAATGACACAGAAGCAGTAATTCAGGCTCACAGCCAAAGTTTTGTTACACAGTCCATCCAGTCCAGACCCAGCCTTTATAACTCACTGATTTAACAGGAGTTTATCAGGCAAAGTTCCTTCATGATTATTTACAGAGACAAAGTTTTACTTGTTCTCATTAGCCAACATTCACACACTTAAAGTACCATTATGCATCAATAAAAATGTAAAAAAAAGAATATAGGACACTGAATGCATGTACCTTAACATTAGCCTCCTTCATGTTTATGACCTGGTCCAGATCAGGCTGGGCAGCAGTAGCGTTTCCAATCAGCAGGTAGAAGGTGGCTCTCAGCAGCAGGGCCTCTGCCGTGTATCGGCCTCCTGACTCGATCTCTTTAGTGCACTCACTGATAATTTTGTCGTAGTTCTCTTCATCCATGAACTGCTTCGCCTTTAAGAAGCCAGAGCTGAAGAAGAAGCATAACATTTAACAAGGATGTTGGATACGACAGACAAGAAATGACGAAACAAAAAATATGAAAAATACACATAAAAATAAAAATAAATGAATGAATAAATAAGGCAATATGATTCAGTCAGGAAAAAAGCTAATCCTCTATTTTTTCCCCTTTTTCTTTACACATTTGTGTATTTTTTCTCCTTATTGTCATTTTTTGTATTTATTTATACATTCATTTATTTCTACTTTTATTTCTTTCCACATTTCTTTCTATATTTCTCAATTTCCACATGTTAATGAGGTGGGTGGTTCAAACAGTTGCCTTCAGCAACGATTGGTTAATCATAGTACGTATGAGACGATTCTCCCTCTTCTTGCTGTCCTCAGCATTGTGGCTGCATCATTAACTTTCACATTTTACACAAAAACAGTACAAGATGTTGGAAAATTAAGAAATGGGTGACCAGCTAAAATTTCAACGCTACGACAAGCAAACAACTTCAATATTAATCTACCAGCGTAGTAAACAATATACCTGCGAGATTCAGTCCCATTTAAGTTAAAGGGGTCATAGAAGGCAAAGCTGAGTTTACCTTGTCATAGAGTAATAATGATAGCTCATTGGGTGAAATGGACGTACAGAGAAGTTCAAACCCCATCAACACCTACAATTCTAAACTTCCACCATAAAACAGGCGAATCCAAAAGAAGCACCAAATTTACGTCAATTCGGGGATCTTCCCTTATTTGGTTCAGGCTTGTACTTTTGTCACGCCCCGAAATTGACATACAGACCAGCCCACTGGTTCACGGCCCAAGAACATAATTAGAAGTAGATGTAAGACATCAGTTTAGCTGTTTAGCCTACAGCTGGGTTTACTTCTACAAGAATTACAAAGCAGGCAGTTTCTCTATTGAAAATTAACCAGAACCAAGGGAGGAAATGCAGAGTTTCAGGCTGCATGGGGAAAGGGGAAAAAAATTCACAGTCTTCCCAATGATCCAAAGACTCAACATTCATGGTTATTTTTGTCCCTGCAAAGTTTGATGCTCAGGTGTTCATTTGCTCTAAGCATCTTATCGAAGACAGCTTTCAAAATCTTGGACAGTTCAAAGCAGGATTAGCTAAACTTTTTTTTACTGAGACGAGGGGCTGTTCCGACCGTAAGGCCATCACAACTGCAATTTGGAAGAATGATGATAAGCTGTTGATAGCAATGCTAGCATATCTATGGTGACCAGATTTGGGTTTCTGAGAAGGAGGACACTTTTTTTTTTTTTTTTTTTTAAGGGGGCATAAGGTCCGGGGCTGGTCCAAAACCAACCCAGTGACGTGGACCGTAAATGGCAGGTGGGGGGAAGCACGGGGCCGCCGTTGTCCAGGCTACCATTATTGGGATACCCCGACCAGCCCCAGAGCTCAGGCTCGGTTCTGCTGCACGGTAGTCAACCTAAATCCTGGATGATTTTCCCGTACATTTTTATTATTTTTTTTAAGTATGAAAAGTAGGACATGTTCGGGAAAAAGAGGACGTCTGGTCACCCTACCATATCAACAATCTTGATGTTTCAGTGAGTGAGTGCTTGTTGCTATGATGCGTCTTTGCTCAGCAGCTTCGCTCTTTGTAAAACAACCAATCAGCGCACAGCTCATCTAAATATTCATGATCATACCATAAAAGGAAGAAAACCTGTCGTTTCATTCTGGGACTTTTAACCAGGCTTGTATTAGGGCTCATAAAACAGCTAATATGCCATTTTCAGCCCAACCAATCTTACACACCATATTCAGAGACCTTAAGGACCAGCACCAAATACCCTATAGAATCATTCTTTGACCCATTTAAATATGAATTCCTTTGAAATTAATTTAACATAAGTATTTGAAACAGAAATAAACCAGTATTTAACTTACTTGGCTGCTTAAGAAAGTGAAAGAAAAAATGATCTAGATAACCAGAACAACGTGTTATTGTATGAATTTGAAGCTGGTTTCAGCTCTCATCAGCTCAAGAATGTCTATACAGAAAAGTAGACAGCATCTAAGCCAATCAGACGCAAGCTAAGTCATTAGTTCAAAGAAGAAACATCTGTTCAGAGCTCCTAAAAATTAAAAACATACAGAATATTCCATACAAGCTTTCCTAACTGGGTCTCTTTCTTTTAATAAACATTTTCTTAAAGGAATTTGACCTGAGTGCTTCTGAAAAGAGGAAAAATACTTCCTCTTCTTGACATCACCATTATTAGAATAATGCACAGGTTGTAATCTGCAGCAAAACAAAAACTAATACTTTAAGAACCCAACGGTCTCCAGTCACTAACAACAACCATAATATTTTTTGTGTCTTTATAAATCATTCTTCACAGCTTTCTTTGGAAATGTGCATATTTTCCAGTTATGGCATTACATGCTGATACAACCTGAATGGAACTGACACAATAAGATTACATGCACTGATACCTGCATTGTAACGCACATGTCAACTACCGGTATATACTGGAAACACAAGAATGCAAAGCGGAAAACAAACAAAATATAGTTTGTTGGCAGCAGCCGTCAGCCAGCTAAATTTCTAATCCCCAAAACCCTTTCAATGACTTTTAAAGGACGAGTGTCTTTTTAAGATTGTTTTCAAAGAGCATCTGGTGGATTGACTAATTATCTTTCTTTCAAATTCATATACATTTAAAAACCATGTGGGAACTGAGAAAAAGTGAAAGGAAGAAGCGATACAGGAGCATAGATAGCTTGAAAATCTCATTTAAAATAGTAATTGAAATTATTAAATTTAGGTTTTTAAACATGTAAGTCCTCTGTTTCGTTACACCACTATAAAGACTGAAAAACAACAACAAAAAGAGGCATATTATATTGATCAAGTGTAGATGTTTAGAACATTCTGACCTCTCTGTGATTTCAGCCGCCTCTCCTTCGTTATCCTTGTCTTCATCTTTCTTCTCGCCCTTCTGCTGCGGCTGGGAGATGATGTCATCGGTAAACGAGCTAAAGTATGACTTGATGAACTGAGGAGATGGCATCATCGGCTCACGGTTCTGCAGGGACAGAAAAAAAAGCTCAAATATTCTATTCCAATCCAAGTTTCTGCTGCCTAAGGTTTATAAATAAAAACATACCTCACACCTTCTGCACAGCTTTTAGACAGTTTTAGTAAAAGCACAGCACACCGCACGGGATTGAAGCACCAGGTTTACATGCAAAGTCTACGGTTGAGGCGCATCAAAAGGTCCTGCAGCGCATCTTGATGCATCTGAACAGCTGCAGCAGCGCCTCATGGGCTACTGAGCATCTGAGCACAAGCAGCAGATGCTGGAGTTTGAAAAATGTAATTTTTGCTGCTCGACGCACCAAATGCACTAATCAGAAAAGCTGATCTGGGAGCTGGCAGGGAGACAGACAGCGCTGCTGATGCATATCGCTATGATCACTCCCCTGAAGTAGTTTATTGATGCCTAAAATGGACTTAAAAGGTTGAAGCCTGACTGCAAAATATGTTTTCATTTATTATTCTGGTGCCTGCAGTTTTTACCACATACATGAAAAACGCTAACATCTACTTGCAGCCACAGCAGAAACCCCCCAGCTGTTGCTGGGGATTCCCAGTGACAGCGCACCTTTGGTATGTGTGGGTCTGAGCGGCGTCGACATCAAAATAATGTTTTAAGGCAGAGTCGCAATCTTGATGAACTGACTGCACAGACTATGTTTTAGGTGGACTTTCTCGCTTAAAAATATATTAAAACAAATTTTTGCTCAATGATCGCAGCAAATATAGCAAAGCCGCTCTCTCCATTAAACACAGGAGCAGCAGACGCATCTGGACACACTTTACTGGACGCGTTTCAGGAGCATCAAAGATGCTCTTGACGCGTGTCAGACCTTGATGTGTACAAGCATTAAAAATTAAGCAGCAGGCGCTTTTTTGCTACCCAAAGCACGTCCAGTGTGAACGTAGCAGTGGGGTTTGGCTGCTAACATTTTTAACCAGGATTAAAGTAGATTTAAATTGGCAGTCAGAAGGTTTGCAGAGGATGGTCTCTCTGTATTTGAGAGGCACTGTCCCTGTAACTTAAAATGTTATTCTCATTGTATGACTATGCTGCCTTTCCCCAGTTCTAAAGTTCTGGCCGAGTCTTGGGGGAGGCATGTAGCGCACAACCTGCAAGGTTCAACGGCACACTACATCCAGAAGAAAACCATTTTATTCCAAGATTTCTGTACTGTATCTGTTGATCAAATACTTGAAATAATTTTTTCTAGCATCATGCCGTAGCAAAACGAGGCTTTTTCAGAAACTGCCTGGAAGCTTAAACTGATGTAATCTGGCTCTGTTTGACTGCAGGAACCAGTTTATAGGGATGAACAGTGAAACATGGAGTTGAATTTCTGTCAATGGAGGGTTAACACATGCTTCCATAGAGTAATACCATCTTCACCACCTCGTATAGGTAGGTTACACCTGGAGCTTAATTCTTGCATCATCAATAAAATCAAAATAATATATTTTTTAACAAATTTTTCAAAGGCTGCACTTTAAAAAAAAGATGAAATTGTCCAGAGAGCTGTTACAAAGTCTATCAATTCAATTCAGTTTATTTCTATAGCGCCAACTCACAACACATGTCATCTAAAGGCAATTTACAGTTCAACCAGATCATCCAGTCAAATTGATTCAAAGTTTTCTATCTAAGGAAAACCAGTTGATTGCATCGACTTATTGACTCAAAGGCAATCCCTCACACTAAGCATGCTTGTAGCGACAGAGAGGAAAAACTCTCTTTTAACAGGAAGAAACCTCCAGCAGAACCAGGCTCAGTGTGAGCGAACATCTGCCGAGGCCGACTGGGGTTCAAGGAGACAGAACATCACATCTCAGATTAAATGGTTAATGACCTCCTCAACATGTCACCAAGATCTAGAAAGGGTACAGTAATAAGCAATTCATTTAAAAAAAGGAGTGCTGATGCATGTGAAATTTGCAGAACAGCCAAGAGCTAAAGTTGGAGATGCCACCAGTACAACAGAATTTCAGATCAGAGTTTTAATATTGACTATTCAAATATTATACAACAAGGAAATACACCTTCAAGAGATTACATTGATGCAAAAGTTTTAAATTAAACAGTACCTTGTATTTCTCTTTGGCCTTCTCTTTTCCCAACTGTTTTAACACCTTATCAGCAAGCAACATACTCTGCTGGTTCTGGAAGGCCTCGAGGATACACACCGCTGTGACATCTGTACACAAAGACAGAACTTTTTATTTAAAAAGTACAAAGAATCAGGATTAACTGTCTGCAAGAATTGAACATTTACAGCAAAAAAATGCTGGAAGAAATCTATTCTAATATGAAACAAAGTCTGACCTTCTAGGCACTCCTTCTTGTTGTCCAGTTTTTCAAGAGCTTTAGCCCTCCTGAACAGAGCCTTAACGTAGCGTGGGTTCATTTCCACAGCCTGAGAACAATCCTGGACCACCTCTGTCCACTTCAACTGAAACAACAGTTCAGCCTTGTTACACTTAACTGAATGCATTTGGCATCTAGCAAAACAAATACAATCTCATGAATTAAAAATCACACATAATGCTCACGATGAGCGACCAACCTGCTGCTCGTACGCTGCTGCTCTGTTCTGGTAAAATGTTGACAAATCAGACTTCTGCTCTTTGGGGCAGAGAGCGATGGCCTCTGTGTAGCACTGGATAGCTTTGTCGTACTTGCCGGCTTTGAAGTACTTGTTGCCCTTATTCTTTGCAGCCTGGGCTTTGTCCAACGGGCTCTAAACGAAAGACAGGGAAAAAAAGTTTAATGAAAAAGGATTTCCATTTTGAAGAATTGGGAGCTTTATGCTAAACGGTTGGCTCACATTGCATTGTGAATTCTGCATTTTATGGTTGTTAGGCTGCAGCTCGTTTTATTTTTCTTTACCATAATGGAGGACAAACTTTATTTGATGATTAATCTATGAGTAAAGTCTGTCTAAGATGACAACCTTTTGGATTTTAAGAGACAGAAACATATTTTTGTGAGTTACATTCTTACTTTTATTAAGTTTAAAAACATTTTTTGGTGCCACTTGACATTCTTTTTAATGGGGATTTTGGTTTGGAGTTTTTTTTTTTTTTATTTGTTCTTTTTAAAGCTTGCTCTCTGCTGTCGGGAATGTGTTCACCTTAGTCAGCCATTACCACTAATCAGTGGTGGACTCATGTTTTCATAGTACTTCCCTCGTGTGCAAATTTAAAAACACAGTTTCAACAGTCATTAGGCTCATTAACAGTTTGGTTATTGTTATAATTCCATTTTAATTCTAAAGTTTCCATCTAACCAGAGTCTTTGCTGAAATGGGCGGGGGAGGAAGGCCAAATGTCAGTCAAAATTCCTGATTTTCAGCATAACAGGGACTTTTTTAGCTTAACAACCTGTGACACTAATATACGCTAACAAGAATCATGGGATATTCTTGTAATAGCTAAGATGGGCTTTAAATTTTAGCTGAAAATTTTCTTATATTTGATAAAATAAAAAAAATATTTAAAAATTATCCTTTTTTTTTTTAGTTCAAAAATCTAGGGGAAAAAATTAGAATCAGATTAAGAAAAGTTGGCCCCGAAATAAAATCCCATCTTTAGCAAATAGCTATATAAAACAACAGTGCCATCGACTATGACCGGGTGACATTGTCTGTGGATGCAGGAGTTTGCCCTGCAGCTGAAGCATTGCTGGTTTAAGCCCCAGCTTTCAATGTTGTTGTGTCTTCTTTGGGCAAGAATCTTCACCTGCATTGCCTACTGATGGTGGTCCGATTTGTGGAGAATTCCTCATCATCACAGGGACACTAAGGCTATGGTCTCAGTGAGGGTATTGATGCTCACTTCTGACTATTTTACGGAAATCTATAAATATTTTTCCCTCGCGTTGTTAAAACACAGCTATGATCAGACTCCAGTGTGTGAGCGCTTCACAGCTCCAACACTAACCGCATGCAAAGAAGGACAGAGCAGACTTCACAAGGCAGCGCTCCAAGAAGTAACAACAGCTGTCTGCTTTGGAGAGCCGTTACATTCAAAATTAAATAAATACCGCTATTGACAAATTGTCAATAAATAATCCAGAATAATAAATGAAGATCCCCATAAATATGTTAGATTATGTTTTATGTTATTTTAATAAATTTCAAGATTTTGGGAATTTTGAATAAAAAGGATTTTCATAGTCTGCATCTCTGTGTTATTTTAAATAGTTGAAGAGAGTCGATAATATCGTAATGACATAAGAAGAAGAGAGATTAAAAAAAAAAGATGCATTTTTGTACAGCAGGGTCTGCTGTGCTGGAGAGGAGTATGATAACCTGAACACTCGAAGGCAATATATAAATAAAGTCATTGTTATTAAAATCATTTCAAGGGTCGGCTAATTGCACAGAAGAAATCGATGCACAGATGTGCCAATTTGTTTTAGACTGAATCAAAATGAGACTTAAATAACAATTTTTGGACCAAAAAAGAGAATATTTATAAGTTACAACACAGCTTCAGTTAATCAAACTAGAAAACACCAATCAGGCTCTAAATCTGGGTGTAGTGTTGGACTAAGAACTGAACCTTCATAGGCTCATAAAAACATTTAAAAAGTAATCAATCACCTAAAGAATATCTCCAGGATTAAAAGAACTGTGTTTATGAACTAATTCATCTGTCCAGCTTTAGTAGAATTGATTACTGACTTGCTGTCAGTGGATCAACCACACTGACCTCACAGGTCTTTTGAACCAAACCTACACTGCAAAGCCAAAACTAAAGATGGAGGTGCAGCTTTTAGTTCTTTTGATCCACAAATCTGGAAAAAAAATTGCAGAAAACTGTAAAGAAGCTGAAACCTTGCATTGTTTTAAATTGATATTTAAAACCAAGTGTAAAGTGGCCTTTTACTGTGCCACCCAAACATTGGTGGTTTTAGCTTATAGTCTAGTTTTCCCCTTTCTATGTTGTACGTAATTGTTTTGTAATCATTTTATAAAATTTATTTTTTCCTTTTTATTACTTTATAAATCATTTAATTACTTTGATGCCATTGCAATGCATGTTTTCCTTTTTTTTTTAAATTAATTTCTGTCTTGATCTGTGCTTCTACTGAAATGTGTTAAACAATTTAACTTGCCAGGCCTTGAGGGCCTGACTTGGGCAACCATAATATACAGGGAAGCCATGAGTAAATTTTTCCCAGAATCATCAGATCCTCAAATACTCTAACATACATTTGTTAAAGGTTTTTACAGCCCTGAGGAGAATCTATTCTTTATTTTAAAGCTAATAAGATGTCGGGCATCCTCTATGTTCTTAAAAACACAATAGTCTTTTAGAATACGTTGGAAAGAAAATTGTCTATGGACTTATATCATCATGTGCTCCTTTATATATATATATATATAAGTTACATTACATTTCTTTAAAGTAAAGGATCTATAAAATCCACTCTCCTTTCTCAGGAACTTGTGTAAGATGTCAAAGGTCAGAGACAGCTCTGTAACACATGCCCAGGTTTTTGTCTCAATGCATTTCAATATCTGTGATGTTCTTTTTTACTGGTACTCTAAACCCAGTTGAACAACTTCATCCTAAAGCTGCACTTGCATATATTGTCGGTTCACAAATAATGGCAAAAAGTCTCCGATAGTGAGATCTACAATGTTAATAGGCTTGGTTTTTTAAATCTAAAAAGGGGTGTCTATGAAAACTAAATATAAAACTATAATATGGGGGTCTTCAACATAATACTAGGCATCAGAAGTAAATGATGTTTAGTTCCCCCCCTTCCATATCACATTTAATAAGGCCTTAATAACTGTCTGTTGTATTACACAAAATCATGAAGTAAAGGACCTGTATATATGATGACTGCATGTAGTGGATGGACTACAGACTGATTTGCTAATCAGTCGCTTATCCTCAAACCCTGATGCAAAACAGAAGACAGGGTGTGATGCAAAGATAGGCAATGTGTGATTAACAGGATGAAAAATATAACCAATATTATTAATATTCATGCATTTAGAGCAACAAAAAAAACATTGAAGGGTATAACATTTTAACAAACGTGTGATAAAAACGACTAAATACCAATAAAACTGCACAATCTAGATAGTTACACCTCTACACTAGTGTGCCCTTCACAACTGGCTCACCTGTTCAGGTGTCCATCTACAATTACATTTTGTCTGTAATCTTAATTTTGATTTCAATGTTTTAATGTGGAATAAAAATGCCCATTCCTCATCATGCTATGGGAGCTAAGCCATGCTATTTTATTAAATCTATATAACAGTAAAGCTACCCATTACCTGACAGCCTTCCCCGCCCACCTTGACTTTCTGACCCAGGTGCTAGCATGCAACATTAACCACAAAATAAAGTTTTCTATTGATTATTAGGTGGGTTAAATATTTAGACGCATCTAAATGTTTTCCCCAATGAATGGTTTGATTATATCTGATATAATACAGCTATATCCAGGTTACCTAACCTAGCTACACTGTTAAAGCTAGCCATTAAAGCTAACTAGCTGGTGTAAAGTTAATCCACCGCGCAGGGCTGCTGCTTATCGGCCTTGCCCTCCTGACGGTAGCTGTCACTGACTGTGGCTCCACCGTCAGGTGTCCTTGACCGGACTTAAACACAAAGGTGAGGGCTAACGGACCCAGGAGCGACCAGCAGCGGCATAAACCGTGTGAAGGTGAGGAAGCTAATGCTAAACCGCAGAGCCAGGGAGCCTCCTCCCCGGGGTTTCAGTACCATGTTCTCCTCCTCTCGGTTGGCTCGAGGCGCACCGTCTTGGCCCTGAACGGGACTGGCACTGCCTTCTGGAGTTTTCCGTTCCCCGGTTCCATTCGATTTATTCGTCCTGTTACGGTTCCAGAGGTACACAGCTCCGACACCGAGCACAATAGGAGTCCCGACTAAAAGCGCCAGCTGCCAGCGGGGTAGTCCGCTCCCAGACTGGGGTTCAACTGGCTTAGAAGCAGCCATGATCCACTCCGAATTTAGCAACGTTAGCCAGCCGCTACCACCAGCATACAGCGTGAGGAAACCCCTTGAATGCTCCTCTTTGACTGATGGTACCAGAGCATGCTAGTTTAGTGTATAAATGCCATGCTGCCCCCAACAGGTGAGGTGGAGCAAATTCCTTCTTCTTCTTCTACTGTTTAATTGCGGTAGTGCGCACTTTTAGGTGGGCACTACCGCCACCTTCTGAAAAGGAGTGCGGATTCAAAACTTTACATTCCACAATAAAATCCTGTGTTCCTTTAAAAGAAAGAAAAATATACTTAACCAGAACATGCCTTGAATCTAATGGAAGTAATTTGAAAACATTAAACTGTTGGCTACCTTCTCTTGATCAAATTAATCTCTAAGAATATCACTCTATGGTTGATATTGTCTACAGTGAGTAAGCACATGTTCTATATTTTCTATCACACCATGGTAATTACAGTTCCCTGTTGCATGCCCCTCCTATTACATGGAATTACACATGTATTATTAAGTCCTGTGTTTCCCAGTCTCAATCTATTTATTATATCCTCCCTTCTGTCTCTATTTGTCCTTATTTGATTGACCTTTTTTTGAATCCTATTTAAATGTCTCTATGTCCCATTCTTTCTGCCAAATCTTTACTAACTACTTATTTATTATGCATTTAATTTCTATGTAGAAAAGTAGAAAATATGTCTACAAGCTCATTCCGCTCCACTCCTATGTGTGCTGGAACCATAGCAGAGTAACTTCCACCCCATGCCTTTTTTTTCTGGCAACACTATGAACAATATCAGCAATCATATCTTGTCTAGATTCTGTATTAATATCCTTACTACTAGTTAGAGGCAAAGCACTGCGGGAATCTAAGCAAACAATAAATGAGACAAGTTTTTCTTCTTCTACCCACTGTAGTGCCAGCATTGATGCAACTAGCTCTCCTGTATAAACAAACAAATGATCGCTAACTGTATGATTTGACACAGACCTAGAGTAACAAAAGTTAATACTGCATATGCTCTTTCTCTACCCTCTATATAACTATTTTCCTCTCAGTTAAAACATTTCTCACTCACTGACACCTCCTTAATTCTAACTAGTTTTGCGCCGATGCCATTTTTGACCCCGATACCAATACCTGGCTGTGCATTATCGGCCGATACCGATACCATCTGTTTGAAATTGATGTGTGTGTACATATGAAGAACTGCATACTGCTTATATGTAAAATAATTGCCATCATGGCTTTGTGAAGCTGCTGCCTACCTTTGTGAAGCAGGAAAAAGACTAATACAAAGTGAATCCAGTAGAACATTTTATTGCCTACCTGGAATTGGTGACAATAGTTGAATAAACTTTTGGCTCTCAAAATGGTATCGTGCCCTATTTGTTGGTACTCACAGATACCAATACCATCATTTTATTTTTGTATCGGGGCCCTGCCTGATAATGGTGTCGGTGCAACATTACTCTTAGTCCTAACCCCTTTAACTTGATCATTAGCCCCTCCTTCCACATCATATCATACACCTTTTCTACATCGGAAAACATTGCTACCAGACTCTCCCTGTTAACCTGTGCGTTCCTAATTTCATCTACTAAAAACACGGCAAGATCAATAATATTTCAACCTTTCCTAAACCCACTTAGTGTCATGATCTTGGCACTGAGGACTGGCTTAATTACTCATTCCATTCACCTGTCTAACTCTGCCTGGTTTCTCATCACTGCTAATCTGATCCACCTGCTCCTGCCTCTATTTAAGCTGCCTTCTAACAGCCATCAAAGCCTGATTATCTTGTTCTCTCTAGCCAGAGATGAGAGTTTTTTTTAGATTACCTTGGTGTTTCTGTTCCCATCTGAACCTTTTGCCTCACTTGTCTTCGGACTCCTGCTTGTTCTCTGGGGCTGCAGCATCTGGGACACTCTTGGCCGCACTTGCCACATCTTGTAGGCAGCCCACCAGCTGGATCCTACCTCTTTCTCTGGGCATGGACTGAACTTGTAAACCAGGTTAGTGACTCACATTCATAATCTTCCTCTGTTAGATTTACTAACATAACCACTAACTTCAGATGTCCTAGCTGCCACCACTGCAGATCTCCAGTCTGTTAGTGTTTTAATAAAATCTTTTTGAATAATACCACTGTCTGTCTTGTCTGAATACTGGGTCCTCTGTTCTGAGTCATGACACCCGGACATGGTTTAAACAACTCATCTCTCTCCTTAAAGTACTTTAACCGCTCATTTATCATTACTTTACCCACATGGGATGTTAAAGCAATCGGCCTACAGTATATCTAGCAGGATCACTTGGGTCTTTGCCAGGCTTACAGATATGAACAACAGTTGATTCCTTCCAAGCAGCTGGTGGCACTCCTGTATCCCATACTTTATTGTAAAGCTTAAGAACGATATCTCTACTCTTCACACTAAATCTTATCTGATCTCTTCCTAGTTTTACTCTATTATTTTTATCAACACTACTTAACCATAGAAAAAGACACATTTATTAAATCAGCTCTACCAGCTTCACCACATTAGACTTCAAAGGCTCAATTCTTTATTGTAATACCTCTTTGTCTTATTTCTTGCTAAAAAAAATAAAAAATTAGCAGTACTGTGCACTTTAGCAAAGATTCTGGCTAAGAGCTCATTTTCTGCTACTAGTGCTTCCCAACCCTTAAAACGGGGAATCCAAATTCCCTCCTAATCCCTCTGATTTTTTTTATTTTATTGTACTCCATACTTTACCTCATAGTGTAGTTCTTCCAGTGACTCACATTATCTATTCCAATATACATTCCTTGCTTTTTTTATTACCCTTTGAACAACACCCTGAAGTTGTTTATAAGCTATCTGATTCTCAAAGTTTGTTTTTTTTAGTTTTTACGGCATTAGTGGCTCGTTTTTCTGACAGTAGGCAGACAGAAAATGGGGTATAAGAGAGACATGCGGCAAAGGACCACAGGTCAGATTTGAACCCATGTTGGCCACATCAAGGATTAAGGCCTCCATACAAGGGTCTCGCGTACTAACCACTGCGCAACCTGCATGTGCGGACTCTCAGAGTTGCATGCCTTATGCCTACTGCATTTGTACTCTTCTCAGACCACTATGGAACAATATCTGTCCTAATATTATACTTACTTCCTGGGATGTTACCTGTGCTGCTTCCAATATAACTTTATCAATACCTAGTTTCACAGTCCAAAAATACAATCGTTAGGTTAATTGGCTTTTTCTAAGTTGTCCTTAGGTGTGAGTATGTGTGTGTGTGTAGTGGTATGTCTTTGTATGTCTCTGTGTTGCACTGCGACAGACTGGCAACCTCTCCGAGGTGTACCCCACCTCTCGCCTGTAGACTGCTGGAGATAGGCACTGGATCCATAGAGATCCTGACAAGAACTAAGGAGAGGATGGATGGATGGATGGATGGAT